TCTGCCAAATTGTTTAGATTATCACCATAAACAGTGCTTTTGAGATAACCCCATAGCCAAAAGTCACAGAGGTTGAGGTCTGGTGGGAAGAGGGGAAAGTGTTGGCCTATAAGACGTTCATTCGTGAAATGTTGCCTAAGTAACTGTGCGACACACGTGAGGTGGGGCCCAGCCCTGCATAAAAATCGTAGTATCTAAAATGCCACGTTACTGCAGTTCATGTATCACGAAACATTTTAACATTGACTCTAAGTGAGCTGCAATCACAGTGGTCCAGCTGTCGACTGCTCTTCAGAGAAAAATGGTTCAGTTATAAAACTAGCTGTCATTCAACACTAAACGGTGTGGAATGACTGCTATGCAATCGAATGCAGTAGGAGAATGCAATGGAACTAGATAGATAACATGAGGGATTTCTTTGGCCCAAATCGATTAAAAGCGTTTTGAATCAGTATCTTCATGTTTTAGGGCCGAATTCAGGCTTCAAAAATTACAAATTAGCGATCTGTAAGAAAACGATTTCCAGATTGTACGCACTTGTGCGAGTGATTTGCGATCTCACATTTTCTAATCGCTAATTCGTGGTTTTCACGGACGAATTTCTCACTTACACGGATGGCGCACTCGACGTTTATCGAATTTAACGCCTTTAAATGGTAATTTGCTTACTTCAAAGTTTCTTAAGGGTATACAACATATTAAACCCGTGTAACAAAAGGTTAAGTTAGATTCCGACCCATATTTCGTTTAACAATATTGCATACAGCGCCATTTCCCCCTGGTGGTGAGGTTTCGAACTTCCTTTTTTTCGCGGAAAATAAATTCCCATGACCTCCTTTACACGATTACCAAGTTTGATAACATTTGATCCAGTAGTTTTCCTTTTATGACCGTTTCAATGTGGAACTTTAATTATAACCACTCTGTATATTATTAAATTTTAATTTGAAGCTATGCGTTATATGTATACCATGCGTAAATTTTTCGCTTTTATGGAAAAATAAAGAATCGAAGCAAATATACTTAGGATAATGGATGGACCAAAACTGAAAAAAATTTCCCCTCCCTCCGAAAATAAAATATTGAAACTTCGACCTTGAATTTATTGGGTTATCGAAATATTTAATTTGACTTATCTTCTAAGTCCTAGTTCCGACAACAATTCCGTCAAAAATTCCGAATTACTTAAGCTGAAGTAAAAGATTTAGTATATATTCACTGTATGTTAATAAAGTAATCAGAGTGTAATAAAAATAGATTATAGAATTTACGCTGATGCAACTTTTTGTCTGACTGCACAACATGTAATGGAAGAGAAGGCTTGTAGAGATCTGTTTTTGACAGATCCTCTAAAAGATGACAGATGCCTCTAAAAGTAGATGTCATACTCCTTTTGTCTCTTCAATGTCAAAAAACTTTCCTTTGAGAGGCAACTTTAGTTTTGGGGAAAGAAAAAAAAAAAATCACAAGAAGACAAATTTGAAGAACATGCAGGACGATTGAGTACACATACTTATTTTCGGAACACAAGCGGTTCTCCGACTGGTTATTGAATAATGAAAAGATGCATTGTCATGCAATACAAAACATTTGGAATACGTTTTCTGACTGAAAACGTAAGATTAAAAGTCATCTGCTTAATTCACAGCCATTTACAAGTCAACTACTCGGGCAATTGCAGAATCGTTTTGATCCTGAGCTTGTAAGACAAACCTAATATCACTGGATTTAAACACTTCTTTAATCTTCCGAGAACGTTCCTTCTTTAGCTCATATTCCAAGAATATTAAGTGAATACAATTATTGCAAAAGAAATTGAATATTCATTTGCACTACGGCTTGTTAGTTTACTAACGAGTTAACAAAACTTAAATTCTGCTTTTTGTGTCTAAGAATACAACAATATTTTAAATATTTACAAATAAAATATTAAATTGGAGATTTAATTGGAGCCTCACCAGTTGCCTAGCATTTGAAGATTGTTAAATACTAATTGTTTGTTGCGAAGTCTAACCCAGGCTGCATGGTTGGTTTTCGTAGTTTTCTAGGTTCTCTATGAAAGCATCTTAATCAAATAGCTCCCATGTTCTTTCTATGTTCAAATAACCAACTAACCTAGTTTAAGCGCGATTTCCAAGTGAAGTTACTAGCAAAACCCGAATACTCATTAAAAATCATGTAGCTTGCCAATCGGGAGTAACATGAAAGATACGGCGCCAATAATTGAATTGCTGTTACGGTACGCTGTTTCTAAACTTAGATGGTCATTCCTTAATTAAATAGCCCACCAGCGGCCGAGCGGTAAAGACGCTGAACACTGGTAGTTCGGTCCGAGGTTCGAATCCCGCGAACGGGCTGGCTGCATGGGCGTTTTCGTGGTTTTCCCCATGTGTAACGTGTATACGAGCCAGTTTACCTTAGAAAGTCCTCCACGAAGGCATCCCTCCCTTTAGGCAGATAGCCCTCGTGTGCTTTGCCATAATTAAATAATCCAATCCAATCCTTAATTAAATATAATTGATTTGTAACTTCTACTAGAGCTGACGGTAAAAAATTGAAGTGCAAATAAATAATATCGTGTGCAATCTTGATTAATATAAAATTAAAAATTTTGCATAGAAAAATATTTGCATTCAGACAGAAAGTTTTTTGAAATATTTGCAATTACTTTATAAGAAGGATTTATTAATAACCGTAATAATTACTTATTATATTACTGATGATTAGGATTCAGTTCTTGACAATTACATTCTAAATTAGAATTTTAAGGATATAATGAAAATACGCTACGCACAAAAATACATTTTAGGATAAAAAATGAGTTGATTTTTTATGTTTTAAAACTTCTTAAATTCATTTAATAAACATCGTATCCTCGTTGTTAATTGAATCCAGAATGTTGGGTGTCGTTTATATAATTATTCTTACTTGTCCACAGAATCTGCTGACTTATCCAGCCATTAAGTAGCTGCAGATCATTTCTACATAACCATTGAACTTCCATTAATTCAGTCTCTAGAGGGTTGTATGTTTATATCATAATTTGACTTTTATAAAAATGATTATTCTAAATCTTATGTTTCTATAAAAATATACTGTGCTTTAAAAATATGGATGATAGTATCAGCCGCTCTTTCAGCCACTTCAAAAGCAACAGTTTGTTTAGAAATAAATTATGCAGTTAATGTCATAAAATATTTTCATAAAATTCAAATAAACATTAAACGAAAATTCTCAGTTTTAGACAATTCGATTTAAACGAAGTAAAGTAGCAGACGATAAAACGCCGAAGGTAAAAATTTACTCTTAGAAAAATTACTCTTATTTTTTTAAAAAAAAAGGAAAGAAAGAGAAAATTAAAAAAATAGTTAAAAATTTGAATAATATCATCTATAATTTAAAAAAAAAAATAGCTTTTCATATAGTATTAATAAATATTTATTACGCCTTATTGAGGGAAAAAATTTCATATAATTAATTCTCCGTAAAATTTTACTTGAAATTTAAGGTTAAAAATAGCTGTGGCAATTCAGTGTAACAAAAATCCATAGACCACATTTGGCGTTATTATCGCTCAAAAAAAAAGATGCCAAATTTCAAAACGCGAAAATATGTAAATTCGTGTATATCTTAGAAAATTTTGAATAAAAAAGTCTAATTTTTTGCAGATATGCTTAAAAATACACCTACTTTATGATGATGGTAAAAATTTTATAGGTTATAATTCAAAATTTTTTTCGAAAAATTTATAAAAATTATTTAAAAATAGAAATTTAAAAAATAAAACACAAAAAATGGGTAAATTTTATTTGGAATGAACCTAAATTTCGAAATGTGAGAGAAAAAATCAAAAAAAGTTTAATAAAAAAAGAGATATTAATAAATATTTGCCAAATTCAATTAACATTGAGGAGCTAAAATTTTGAGAGCTAATATTTTAAAAACTAGTCGTACGATTTTTACAAAACTTGGTATTCTGGCATAATTTGAGTCGTAGAATCGAAATATGGAAAAAAATTGGTATGTTATTTCAGAAAAAGTCCGATTTTGTGTCAAAATACCTATGTTAGAATAGTGCTATATATAAATCTAATATATATCCTAAGTCGCGCTTTCGAGACATGAAAAACGCAGTTTGAATTTTGTCAATCGGCCCAGTAGAACGGGAGATATAGCACTGTCCCATTTTTTTTTTTTTTTTTTTTTGAGCAGTGTACATATTGCAAAGAAATAAAAATAAGATGTGATGGCAAGCAAAAGTCAGGCCATCTTACGGACAACTTTCTACTTACATTTCAAAATGTGCTGGATATTAATTTGCAGTATGCACAAATTGTGATGAAACAAGATGTGATGATAATGTGTTTCTCATATGAACCTGGTACAAATACAACTAATGCATTCAGCACTTTATTCATTGATTACATTATCATAACATAAAGTGAAAATAATTGTGATTCTTGCTGCTTGAGTTCATAAAAATATATAATTAGAAACCACAGGATTGACCTGAGAATATACCATATATGTATTATGGTCACTAATTTTTTTATACCAATAAATAAGTTCATTGTTTATTATTATTTTTCATTTCTCTAGCTGCATATATCATATTTATCATTGATATCCCACATCTTTTTACTCTAATGATTTTCTGAAAAATTAGAAGTATCCAATATGTGTAGGCATGCAAACTTCCCAAAGATCTCTGTTAAGATATTGCTGATTTTTTATTATTAGGGTGACAGCAAAATCCACACTTTGCAGATCATCATTGCACTTCAGCTGCAATAGATGTCAGGAGGCGTGCATTTCTGTACAGGTCAAATCATGTGACTTCTTTGTTAGATAAAAAATGAAGTAAATGGTCTATGCATCACAAAGGTGGGAGCAAGGGGACTTAAAAAATACTTCTAAATACAAACCAGAAAATGAAATAAAGTAACTTGTATTCAAATAAAAATGGCATGACTAAATTTGTGAATGTAATCTATTCTTACCAACTCCTGCCATAGCATCAGAAACGCCTTGACTACTTTCTTTTAAAAACTGCCTTCGGATGAATTGATGACATGACGCTTCATCCTAAAAACACAGAAAAGAACCTATAAAAATCTAATGAAAACAGCTTAGAAGAGAGGCAAATTACAAAATTAAAAAGGAATAATTAATAATGTGACACACAGAAAGCAAAGAATGACATGTGTAAATTAACGATTTGGCATGTATAATTCAGGTGCTATAAAGCTTCCTTTATTGTATATAACTGAGATAAATTACTTTATAAGTGACCAAATGCATGGTTCCCGGAACCACTCGATTGTTCCCATTCTTAGTTCCATTCCTGCATACCAATCTCAATTCTCTATTTATTCCTAATCTTATTCACCAAGGTTATTTTTAGTGAGTGGTAGTGCCACAAAAAAGAAACAATTCAGTTCAGCGATCAAACGATTCTGATCAAATTCCTCAAAAGAGCAATTTTGCCCACTTGACAATGGTTCTATCAAATGAGCAAATCTAACAAAGGCTGCATCATTGTTTTTCGAAAATAGGTCAAACTTTACCAACAAACCGTCCAGGAGGAAGGTTGAATGACGACACAATCAAATAATACTATTACACTTTGGTTCCTACCAAGATGTCTGTAACTGACATGTGAACATATGCAGATCAGGGTTGGCAGAATCTTAGAAGGATATTATAACAATAAGAGCTACCATAATAAATACATTGATAACTTTGCTATCAGCTAATTTAGAATAGCTTACTCATGTCGCTTAAGACTGCAGTGTCATGATGTATTGTTGCAAAGCTTAAGAGGTTGGGCACCACTGCAACTTCTACCTCTAGCTCTTTGGGCATCATAACAATGCTTACTCTTGTGTTGCACTCACAAAGTGTAGAATGCATTAAACTGGACTAATAACTGCTCACTCAGTGATGAATCATGGTTTCTGCTTGACATGGATGACTGCAGGCATTAACGTGCTGAAAAAGTCTGGTCAATTCATTTTGTTTCTTTTTGTGGAGATGCATGACTTCTTCACTTTTCCTAAAGTTCTAAATTTGTTTTACTGGTTCTCAATTTTTAATTTTAGATTTTTGTAATATTTTTGAGGGTATCTTAGTATTAATTATAATCTTATTACAATATATATAATTATGATATAATAATTTAATAATTATATAAAATATCAAAGTTAACAGCCTAACTGGAAAAAAATACAAAAGAGGTGAACCAACTCATAATTATTCCAATACAATATAATAATAAAAATATAGTACAACAAAACAGATAGTTAAATAGTCTATCATTTTTTTCATAAGCAGAAAAGTATTTTTATTTAGTACTCATTATTTTTTCATGCAACACAAATTTAGCAGTTTTAACTATTAAATAACGAAGGAAAAAGTTATAATCGCTAGAATACTTTTTCTCAAAAATTAATTTTACTCATTACATACCATTATAGTTAAATTTTTGTTTTTATATTAATTTTTTTTAAAAAGATTAAATAATACTCTATATATAAAACTATATAAACACTGCTGCATATTTTTATTAAGAAAAAGTGTTAGTTTAAATAAAAACAGATTTTACTGAGTTGCTCCAATAGCAAACTTAATCAGCCATAATTATCTAATATTATAGACAAGACACAAGAAAAATTCAATAAAATATTAGAAAAGAGGGAATAAAAGCATCTTGCCTTGATTTGCCCTAATACTTCATCCAGAGCAGTCTTGTATCTTCGCCGTTCTTCTCTCCGCCTTTTTAACTTCATATATGTTCCAATACTGTGCAAATGTGTTATTCCAGCATTACGACAATCCTGAAGCATTCTAATTCTCTGTTTCGTTTTTTGTTCCCCTATGGTATCCAATACATAGCAGACGCAATTAAGTAGGTTAGCATATGATGGAAAAACAAGATGTCAACATATTGGATAATAATAATACATTCAAAATTACTCTTCTGAAATGACTCTTAATTCTTAATGAATTAAGAATGAATTCTTAATGAAACATTAAAACAGCACATTATTTCAAAATAAACATAAACAAAAATTTTGATTCTTTATAAAATTAAAAAAAACTTTGATAAAAATACATATTATAAAAACACATTTTAAAATAATTCATAATGAATGCTGTGTAAAGAGAATTAAGAATTACTATTCCAGAATTTGAGCTTTCCAGGTTGGCACAGTATTAGGTTCTAAAATTAAAGGTAAGAATTTTCTTTAAGCTTTCAGTATCATACCAACTTTCTGATATAGAACTACTCAGTAGATCTTTGCTACGCACAGTTACAGTTTGCAGATGAATTAATTCAACAAAATCTTTAAAAAAATGTACAGTCTTATAAATAATTGCACCTCAAACAAAAGCTGAGTCACGAACTACTAAAATAATTTTTAAAGTCTGATAAATGTTGATAAATACTGAAGTAAGTAGCATACAGAAATATCTTCTGAAGCCAAGGATTTTAATTTATGAGATCACTAACAGAAAAATTCTCTTAAGAAAATTCGAACCCTGAAAAGAATTCACTAGCAACACACTACATGGTAAAAAATAGGTAACCAATAACATCAGCAAAATTAATTTATGTGGCAACTCAGGTATGCATGCATGTACAGTAGATGAATGGCCTGTTTGACCTTCAAACTTGAAAGCCACAACTGCTTGTTTTGTTACAGAATGAATTTTTTGTTTGTAAGGAATATAATCGGACTGTGGAGTTTCCTGGCTGACAAAAGAGAAAAAGAGAAAGAGCTATCTTTAGAAATATGGAATTTTACCCAACAATTAGGGAATGCAAGAATTCAGATTCCATGCAGTTCATAAATGATAGAATGTTATGGATCAAAATTTGTGCAATTTTCTGATTTTTTTTTAAAGCTAAAGTAGATCACTGTGTATATGGGAAGAACAATGTACACACACACACACACACACAAACACACACACAAAAAAAAAAAAAAAAAAGTGTTTTATTACGCATGCTTCTTGTGTTTTTAATTTTGTTAATTAGTTGCTGTTTTCTGTAATTCTTAATGCACCACCATTTTTGAAAATGGCTGTTGTTTTTGGGAAAAAATTAATAGCCAGTGGTTGGCAACTGTTATCAGAATTAGGGTTTATAATCAGAAACTATCAACAATTTAACATTAACACTTTGATTGGGAATAAATGGCAAATCTCCCATAACAGCCAGTGAAAATACACGTTGTTTCTGAGCAACTGTGCCAAGTAAAAAGGTAAAGGATCATCAGATCTTACTTACAAAATAAGGTAAACTGAAATTTAATTTTTTTTCTTTTTGGAAAGATCTATAAAAATTAACCTAAGCAAGTTCGTTTCACAGAAATATGATATATTTGACTAACTTTTTTTTTTCCCCCTCTACTGTTGAATTTGCTACTATTTAGAAAGCAATTTAATACAGCAATGATAAAAATGACAATATAATGTTTGTATATTGTGAAACTATGCTAGTGAGAAGTATGGGGGAAAAATAAAGAGTTATTATTTCCATTAAAACAGCATGGCTAAGTTAGATAGATCACTGCTAATGAAGTCCCTCTAAATTCCTACCTCCCAAAAAAGATAGTTTTTCCCACAGTAATTAGATTATATAAAAAGAAAGAAAGAAAAATTTTTTGATGATTTTCATAACTTGATCAGTATTTTGGGGCAACTACAGCCATTAAATACTGAGAGTAAATGATGGAAATGTGCTGAAAGTATATTTCTAATATAACAGGTATGATTTTTTTTAAATCAAGGATATATCAATGAGATATTGTATGGCAATACAAATTTTAAAATGGTTCAAATGTATTTAGAAATATTTAGATAATTTATTGTGTACTCATGTTACTGATTAATATTGAAAGGATTTTAAAATATTCTGGTTATTGATGCAAGACTACGTGTGGTTGAAAAAACGATGTGAGAGCAATATACTAAATGTACCTATCTTAAAATGTAATGCATTATGGCATAACACTGGAGTGGTTAAAAACAATTTGTGTGTGTGTGCTAATGGAAATAATAACAAGGTTAAAAAGGTGGGCATTAGTTCTATCTAGATTCCAGATGACTGTAGTGCATAAACCAGAAGTAAAAAACTCAGATGCATTGGGGGGTGGAAGGGAGTGTACCATGAGATAAAATGTTAACTGTTGAAATGTCAAGGAACTATATTGGTATTATAATGCTTGTTTAGTATTATGTAACTCTAGAAAAGGACATTTTGGTATGTGCAGTTTTATGTTTTGCATATGGTTTTTTTTGGGGGGGACGGGGGTACTGTTATTTTTTGATTCTCAATATGAAATCTTCTTAAGCTCTCTGATTTTAGTTCCCCCCCTAAACCTCTTCTAGGTAAGTTTCTTTTTTCAAATTTCTGACCGCTAAAAAAGCACTTTTTGTTTAATTGCTGAAAATTAATATATATTTTATCCTAAATTTGAAAATACTAAATTAAAAAAATATATATATATATATTATACTATATTTATTAACGCTCTCACTGCATATGTTTTTTTTTTTTTTTTTATCAAAATAGGTTCAAAAATTGTGTATTTCAAAAATTGCGTAATATATTTTAGAGTTAAAATATACAAAAATTTTTTGTAAAAGAGTTTTTTTTCAATATAGAATTAGATCATAGAAAATGATTGTCAGAATCCTGAAATTGAAGAATAATGATATAAAAGGAAAAGTCAGAGTCGCTACAACTATTTTCAATATACTTGAAGTTAGAGTCAAAACTACTATCAGTGTTGAAAATATCATCAGGAATATAAGTTATATCACTCGCGAAACGCTTCCTACCAGACATCTTTGAATTCTGAAAAGCACGTGCAAAATGCTATATATATATATATATCTACATAAAATAATTATTGAAATTATGTAAAAAAATGCTTCAGAAAATAGTTCTCAACCTTACCATTAAAACAGCTTTACAATCTGCCTGGGACATCAGAGCATAAAAACCACATTTATCACACACATACAAAAAAAAAAAAAAAAAAAAAAAAAAAAAAAAAACCTAACTGATATAACACCTGCATGTCACATCACACTTACTGAGCTCATATCATCATCGTCTTCTGTTTCACTAGAGTCTGAAAAAATAGTATCTCCAGAGCCATCATCTTCGGGCTCAGAGATATTACATTCACTAACCTAAGATTCACTCTCTGAATCCATCATGAAAGCTTTGATACACAAAAACAACACTAATGAAAGTGTAATTACAGAAAGTACAAAATGATTTCAATTTCAAGGTGGGAAATCTCCCAGAGAAAATTGTGAAGATACAAGGACCAGTCGTGCCATCTCTTAGCAATAGTCAGGAATACAAAACTAATTGTGACAAATTCAGTTGCAGTAATGGAATTTTTCACTTCATCAAATCACTTTCAATTCATCACTTCATGCAACAGCGATCTTACAGGCACAAAAACGGTGAACATATGAGATGTAATGCTGACCTAGAAGGGGGTTTAATGCTGTGCCCAAGAGGAGAGGGATTTCCTTGATGGTTTCAGTTTTTTGACAAGAGTCAACTAATTATAAACTAGAGGAGATGTAAAATTTCCTTTAAGGGGAAGGGGAAAAAAAAAACTTTTTACAACTTTTTCTTTAGTGAGACAAAAGTGAAGAAAGTGATGTAGCATTTGTAAAAACTGGTCATGACGACTGGTGGGTTGAGTGAATATGGAGGGGAAGAGAAGAGGATGACTGGCTTGTTTGCCGCTGTCTGAGTATAGCTGAAAAAAGGGGTTTTCACATGCACAGCATATAAAAAAACTATGCTAGTGTTTTTATTTGTTTAGTGGTAATAAAGATATAAATTAAATTCCAAAGAGGTATTTGGCATTTCCATTGAAAAGAACTAGACTCCGAGTACGAGTCACACTGCTCATAACAAAGTTCAGTCATTTATTTCATTAAAAATTTCTCCACCCAAAATTTCTTTTTACAAAATCTAATGATGATCATAATATAAAATCTGAAAGCCTTCACATTTTATATTTTGCATATGCATCTTGTTCTATGAGGTTTCTTCCTTGTGCTACAAAATGTACACTGCCTGGATTTTCTAAATTTTACTGGTGTATGTGTCCAGTGTGATTTAGTTTCTTTTCATCCGGCACATGAAATTTGTGGTTTTTTGTGTTAATGGGGGGGGGGCTCGGTCTTTTTGGCTTTGGTACGGATCATTTGTTTCCCATTTATATTTATTTTATTCGTATTTCATCCCAAAATATTTAGAAAATATTTTTTAATTTAAATAAAACTTTTACGCTATTTCTATTTTTAATTATAGCAAAGTATATTTACATTAAATTTAAACCACACCAAATAATTTATAAAATCACAATACTAGCTTGGGAAGCAAGTGTGTTGAGGTCAGAGAAAATCTCTGGTAAAGAAAGACCTTTTCACTGGGCAGGTGCGTGTATTCCTTAGTAATAAAATAACTCTATGTTTTCCAAACCCCTTATCAATTCCAGGTAAAAATAAACATTCCTATTTGAAAAGCAAGCAAACGGCATCATGAAGAGCAGTGGTTTCAAGGCGCGACCACCGAGCCTCTCGAGGATAGTGAGCATTGTGGCACAATGCTCTAGTGGTGCAGTGGTTGCACCCTGAAACCACAAAGCAAATGCCATAAATATAGATAGATTTTTTTTATATATATGAAGTTTAATTATTGTAATTTTTTATTGTTCACAATAGAAATCATGATGTGCAATTTAACTTTTGAAATTTAAAGTTCTTTATCTTAATAAAAGGAAGTTATATTGTCTCATTGAAAACGAATTTTAAAAGGCATTCGATTTGAAG